TCCATTAGAGGTCTAAATTTTTAGTCTAATTCTCGATCCGCTTTTTTTATCTTTGCTCCATTTCTAATGCCGTTTCATTCGGAATCTCAAATACAAATGGTTCAATAATATAACAACAAAATATGAAGGCTAATCTATTTCATCGTTAAAAATGCAAGGTGGTACAAAAAAAAACAGTTACTTTAATAATAAGTACTAATCGTTAACGGTCTGAAACTATTTTTTTTTCTTCTTCTCGAACACAAAGGTAAATTAAAAGATGAAGTGTTTATTTACATATATTTTATTAGAAATCAAACAATCATTTTATTTTCAAAACACCATTTCTTAATACATAAAACATTTTTAACGCACATATTTTCTTATGAGTAAAACAGCTATACAGTAAAGTATCTTTACAATAAAGTTCACAAAGAGTATTTAAATTGGGAGCTCCTAAGCAACTTATATCTATGATAGTATTATTTTCATCACAAATACCTTGCACCGTTTAATTATTTCACATCCTTTTAAAAAAATCTTTTTAGCTTTCAAATATGTCTTTATAATTTTGTGAAACTCTCTATAATCAATAAAGCCCTCACTCCATCGATACCCTCTGTGCTTTTCAATCCAGCCAATTTGTTTTTTCTCTTCAGGAGATAGTGAAGTGAATGGGTAAGGAGGTTTAATTAGGAATATATTGGTGTACTCTAGAGTGGCTATAGCAAACTCCTTTACTATAAATTTATTTTTGCTATTTTTGAAGCCTTGAAGATCGACGATTACTGTATTGCTATTCATGATATTTTCTTAACGATAATACTCAGTGGTTGGTCTGTTTCGATTTCAACTCTCACATCGTTCGAACCTTTTAAAGTTTCGTGTTGTCTTGAACAATCAATAACAAATAATGGAGCCACGTCTCTGAACTCCTTTAAGCCCATCAACGGCTCTGACCGGCGTCCATGATACAACTGTTCAAATCTCGCATACTGATCGTATAATAAAGTAAACTTATCTTCTGAAAAACTGACATTCAGTCCCTCATAAGGATAATATAATGAATTTAAAAAGACTCTTACATCTCGTACGTGACAATGATCAAACTCTGCCATTGATAATTTCGCGTTATGTTTGCGATTGGTTTGCAAGGCAATGGACCACAAATCGTGGTTTCTCTATTTGCGATGAAGTTTTTATAGACCAAGTATGTTTACGTGTTTTGGGTAGCAATGGATATTCATATAAGTCCCAGGAACGGAATGCCAATCTATGAATCTATCTTTCTCTAAAAGTTTTAATAGGCTGATTCTTTCACGATCTGATGTATGGAACTCGCCAAACTATTTTATTTATTATAATATAAGCCAGTCGGCTTGCAGGCAACGTGTGAGGTGAACGTACCGAATGTTTTATCAAATTTTGATCATAATCCGAAGTAAAATACCAGTTTACGTATTGAAACTGTGTAAAAATAATACTACAAGAAATAAGAAAGACACTGGAATCACATACTATCATTACGTATCATACAATTTCGAAATTTTAACATAAAATAACACGAGCCATAAATAAGTCACAAAATATCAATGACGCTATTCAGTGTTGCCGCGAAAGCAAAAATAAAGTTCCCCGTGGCAGAGATTTTTATATGTGAATTTATTGTTACTATGTTTTACAATATAATATAACCGGAACCGGAGACCCTTTTTACTGGAAACGAGGCATTCCATCGTAGTCCTCAGGGGTTGCAACGCATCTGCATTTTGATTCTTAACCGTGGATAGATGTATATGTCTATGGGCCACAGAAACCACTTACAATCAGGTGAACTGAGTGCTCGTTTGTCACCCTGATCCTATAAAAAATATCTTAAAGTCAGTTATTCCTAACAAAATTTCGTACAATCTTGCTCAAAATGTATGGAAGATCTGATTTTTCTTGCGATTAAGAAGATAGATCTATAGTAAAAGTTGTTCATATTGACGCGTAAAATAGAAAGCCCTATTTTGATTACACCATATATATAACTATTTTTTTTAAATAATTTGTGAATACTAGTTAAACATGTAAATAAAAAAAATTTACTGATAAAAAGAAAGCCTTATCATTTATATGTCATTTATTCAGAAGAAAAACCTATACATAATATACACAAATATATTGATACATTCGTTATTAATAAACTATTCATTTTTAAGTATTGTTGGAATACATTCATAACTATGAACTTAACTACTAAGCCATAGCATAAAATAAATTTTCCCATTAATCGGGTAATAGTTAAGCTGCTGGCATATACAATTTTTCACGCACACTAGCATCATGCAAATTGTCTTATACACACTACAATATTAAGATGCCGCACTCACGGAGCTGTTACTTGCAGGAAGCGCGGTATCTAGTCAGAGCGCGCGATGACTTATCATTAATCAATGTGCAATAGCATGGCACTTGGAAGAGAAAGCTAAATTGGTATTGGTATTTGTTGCGTCGTTTTTAACCTTTTTATAAGTACTTGCATCCGACAAAAATTCTTGTATTTTAGAATTATAATCCAACGTATTCATGACTACCGTGGCATTTCCCTTATCTGCGCGGAGAATCGTGAGTTTTGATTTATTGCGTAGGTTATTCAACGCTTTGAATTCGTCTTTAGGTAGATTTGGTTTTGGTGCTGAACTTCGACGTAACATAAACGAAATGTCTTGACGTATCGCTTCCAAATCTTTCTTTCGCATATTGTTTAGTTTAGATAAGCAGTCCTCGACACTTCAGATAATTTCCTCGTACGGTAATTTTTTCGGTGTTATAGCAAAACTAAGGCCTTTCGATAATATTCTAATTGTTGTTTGTTGTTACTCTAATTGTTGCATCATCCAGAGCTTTAGAAAGCTAAACTGGCTTTTAAAACGCTTGGCATATTCAGTAGAGCGGGACAGTATTTCATGCCTGCACATCGTTTGCAACTTTACATTCGCAGGTTCGGCCTCACATGGAATACTGTTCTCATCTCTAGTGCGGGGCTTCCTAGTGCGAGCTCCTTCTACTTGACCACATAGAGGGCGGAGCGACTCGAATCGTCGACGACCTGGCGCTGCGGAGGGATGTTGCATCTGAGGAATTGTTCGGATTAATTCCAGCCACAAAATTTCACCAACACAGATCGCGACAAAACTTACGTTGCCATCCACATCATTTGGATGCTTGGCGGTTCACTACTGTGCGATTTATTAGGAGTTTTCTTAGGAATCTAGTTATTAGGAAATATAGTTTATCATCGGCGATTTTTATGGACCGATACGACATAGGGACCTCCAAGAAACGAGCTTACTCCTTTTTAAAAGGCCGACAACGCATCTGCAACTCTCCTGGTTTTCTATCGACTACAAAAAAGAGACGGTACTCAATTCGATTGTATGTTTTTTTTAATGTGTGTTATCTCATAACATTTTACTGGGTGAATTTATTTCGATGAATCTTATTTTATTTGAAAGCTTCACATGTGGTCCCATATAAATTTGATCAAGGTCTGACCAATAGTTTTTGAGTTATCCTTAATAATTTATATTGAAGTCAATTGTATAAAATTTTTAATTTTAAATATGTAGAATTATATTAAAATTTTAAAAAGAAGGCCTAAAATTTTGAAGAATCTTGTTGACTGGTTGTACTGGTTGTACTGGCTGACATAGACGTTTCATGTTAAAACCAACGGCCGTGTGACACGACACAGGCCCAACCGATTTCTTTATTGGTATGGGTACAGTATCGTTTACTGTTTCACCTCCTTAAATATTGTAGATGATTAAATCTGCATCTTGTATAATATTTTTTATCGATAGCACCTATCGATAAACGTTGTCAATCACTAACTCACTTGGTGACGTTACTGGATAACAGAGGGCTCTTATTACAATAATGATAAATGTTCTAGGACAATCTACCAGAAATAATAAAAATTTAAAATTATGGGGTAAATATATATTATCCTTGCGATAACAAACCGAAATCACATTCAGTTTCTGCTACACACAATACACAATCGGACATATTTTCTTTAAAAATATTTTTTTTTAATTTAGGAAACGAATCTTATCATGATCAAATCTTAAGCTTTTGATGATGTCACTTAAGACGCCTACACAACGGCAAACAGCGAACACCAAACAACAAACACAAACATGAGGATAGGTGTATACCTGTTTTAGATTGTGTTTGCCAGTGATCGGTGTCACAAATCAAAGGATGATTGACAAACGGGTTTGCGATGTATTCCAAAGCTTGGTAATCAGTAGTAGTAGGCGTGAGTAGCGGACGGAGTTACTAGTGGTATTTAGTATTATTATTATTATACCCTACGATTTGCCATTGTGTATTTAGGTACAGGTGTATTTTATATAATTTTGTTTAATTTCATTTTGCCTTTATTTTAAATAAAAATAGGTCAACCCGAAATTAATCGTTTCCACAAGTTCGTCGTCCGCCATGTTTACCCATTCGGAATATAATAGCACGTTTGCCAAGCATGCGGATACCGTGTTTGTGTTGGGTGATTGTAGTCGGTGTTTGCTACGTGTTTGGTGATTCTTGGTGTTTATGGCAAACACCAAGCATGTGGAGGCGGCTTAAGACTAAATGACACAAATCCGAAATGTATCCTTTAGGTATGTCCTATAAGGATATATTTCGGATATGTGTCATTATTTTCAGAGTAAGACGTGACCATTTTGTTGCTGATGTCCGGTCTATTACTACTATTTAAATGTCTTTGGTGCTAGCGTAGTTACTATACCTACTCTTTGGAGCCCACTGCCCATAGATTTCTGTGTATATACCACTGCTGCCCATTCAACAAAAAAGGTTCCCGATGTATTACTTTTCTCTATGAAAAAAGGACAAAAGTGTCTATGGTACTAAACCTACGCAACGCATTAAATTAGGAAAACCAAACCTCGAAGTTTCTTTTTAACCCAGTTATTCTTTTATGAAATTATCCGTTATTTAAGAATATAGAAATGTCTGATTGGGATACTGTCACGATTCTCCGAAAAAGACCACCAAAGGCGTCAGCACTAAAAACTGAACAAGCTGTAAATGCCGCACGTCGTCAAGGTTTACCAGTTGATACAACACAAAAATATGGTGCAGGAACTAACAAACAGCATGTTATAACGAAAAATACTGCAAAGCTCGACAGAGAAACTGAAGAATTACGCCACGAAAAAATTCCTCTGGACTTGGGAAAACTCATAATGCAAGGAAGGCAAGCTAAAGGTATGAGTCAAAAAGATTTGGCAACTAAAATATGCGAAAAACCACAAATTGTAAATGATTACGAAGCCGGTCGTGGAATTCCAAATAACATTGTACTTGGCAAAATAGAACGAGCAATTGGTATAAAACTAAGGGGAAAAGAGCGTGGCCAACCATTACAGCCTCCTGGAGGAAAGAAATAACGGATTCCCTAGGAGGCGAAGATATTTCTCCGATTTGTTTATTGCATAATGATTCTCTAATTTTGCTGTTGAATGTGTTTCCTAATTAATTCTAAAACGTCATAATTCAAGATGATGTAAGCATTTATTTTCTTGAGTTCTGGAATGTTCTGCCTGTGATGTTATCACCTTGAAATAAAGATTTATGTAGATACTGTTCCGTTGAATATGGATATGATATGCAATAAAGAAAGTTATTTAAATGTAAATGGGGTTTGGTTTATTGAATATTTCATTGTTAAAAAGATAATGTAACCACATTACCATAATATTAGGTTATGTTAAATATACGACGTAAATATATAGGTGTCATAGATTATTGCGTAGTTTTTTTTTAATGATATGATTTTTGGCCTGGATGCTTGTCCTTTAAGCCGTGTCTTCATTTCATTCGGGATCATCATTTTTATAGATTTTCAGTATCACTGCTTCGCAATATGTTGATGCGTTGTATTGCGTAGTCTTGCACTACTTGACTCTGCAATTTGAGCCAGCAGACAGCGATAGTATCTCAATGCGCCTAAGCAGACAGACACCTTACCTTGAGATTCACATCACCATCGGCGCGCTTGTTTCACCGTTTATTATTAAAATATTATGATTTATTTATTATAAGTGAACCTGAATAGCAATAGGTTTCCGAATATATTTCGCAATATTCTAAAAATTACTACCCTTTTAGTATACATTTCCTATCGCAGTTTGGTTTTAGTTACTAACTTTTAATTTATATAAACATCATATCACAACAGAAAGGAAGAAAATATATTAGGAAAGTGCAAAAATTTGTTAAAACTATAATAAGTACTAAAAATTATACAAATGTATGTAAGGAAAAGCAAGAGTTAATTAGTAAACTTAAATTATATTCAATTGAGGTGGAAAACATGAAAAATTATTATGAGACTGTCTTTATTCAGAAATTTTATCACTTCAAACCTCATTACAAATTACGTCAAATAAATATAAATCAGCAGAGAATGAGATAAAAGAACACATACTAGCCATGAATAATCTGGTAAAGTCATTTAAATATAACGAGGAATGTTTTAACTTCTTATTAAAATATCAAAATGAATATCAGCGCTCAATGCCAGGTTCTTTAAGGATAGTGTGTGTTAATAAAATGACAAGCAGTAATACTTCATTTTCTTTACCTACACTCTATGACAGTACCATAACAAAGCAGATAAAATTAAAAAGTAATTCATATAATAAAAAAATACTGTTATTGTGTATAGTGATGACATAGGCAAAACCTTTAGATTATTACTCTCTAGCGTCTTATGAGCGATGCAACAAAAACTGGCCAGTTTTTACAAGCGTGTGTGCGTAGGGCAAACACACATGCTTAGCGGTTGCTATGTCTTATGGCGGCTCTTCACGTTGGCCAACATAGTCGCGAATGTGTTGGCAAAGATATTGGCCAAGAATTTGTGATCGGGTGCATTGGAAGGTCGTTCAGTTTGCTTCGGTTCAGGCCAATGTGCGGACGAATTTATTAAAATGGATATTAAGCCGCTAAAGGCCGCTGCGGTTCATTTATTCACAGCATACCGATACTACGTGAATGTGTATAAAAGGGAGATCAAAAAGAAATGGAAAAAATGAAATTTTATTTCTTGACGACTCCGTGGCGTAGTGGCTTAGCAATGAGTTGCTGGGCTGGACGCCGCGGGTTCGAATCCCGCACGGAACAAATATTTGTATGACCTGCAAATAATTGCTTCGGGTCTGGATGTTTGTCCTTATGCAATTTATGTTTGTAAACTACACTAGGATTTTCTCCTGTTTTGTGGGCCTCCACGATACAGTATTTTTGCCAAGTGTTGAGCCCGGCCCCGTGGTTGACTAAAGATCTTAAAAGATTGATAGGTAGAAAGAATAACGCAAGGTCGAGTTATAGGTCAGATCCAAAGAATGACAGGATACGAGAGAAGTACAGACTCCTGCAGAATCAATAAAACAAGATGTGTGGGGATTTACGGCGCCGCCATATCCATAAATCAACACTTGGCAAAAATACTGTCACCACTAAGAGGACATACCAGAGCACACACAAAGGATTCATACCAATTTGTTAGTGAGATTAAAGACCTACATTTCGCTGACAATGAAACTATGGTCAGTTTTGATGTTCAGTCACTATTCACATGCCTACCTATTGAAGACTGCATCTCAATTGTTACTAGAAAGCTAGAAGATAACAACATGCCTACAGAATATGCAGTATTACTCAAACACTGCCTCACATCTGGCTATTTATTGTGGAAAGAAGAGTTCTACATGCAAGTAGACGGAGTGGCAATGGGCTCACCTGTATCTCCCGTAGTCGCCGACATATTCATGGAGGACTTTGAGGAGAAAGCCCTTCTTACTGCTCCTGTAAATCCAAGATTCTACAAGCGGTACGTAGACGATACTTTCACAATCTTACCATCTGACAAAGTAACTGCATTTTTAAACCACCTTAATTCCATAAACCCTAAAATACAATTCGCAATGGAGTTAGAGGCAAACAATACTCTAGCTTTTCTAGATGTTTTAGTCATCCGAAATCCTGATAACACTATTGGTCATACTGTGTACAGAAAAAATACCCATACCAACCGATATTTAAATGGTGAATCTCACCATCATCCTTCACAGTTAGCTACCGTGGGAAAATCTTTGTTTCAGAGAGCACGAGGGATCTGTGACAGAAAACATCTGGCCGCCGAGCTTCAGCACGTCGAGCAAGTACTGCAAGACAACAAGCTTCGGGTCCCGCGCCTACGTCACAGTGACCGAGTGAAGCCAGCCACAGTCGAGCGTGTGCCTGCTGTATTACCCTATGTCAGAGGAGTCACAGACAAGGTTGGCTACATCTTGAAGCGAGCTTCCATTAAAACGTACTTCAAGCCGCTGAAGAAGATTGGTCAATTTTTACCATCCGTCAAGTGTCATATCCCTCTACAAGATGCAGGAGTGTACAAGCTGGATTGTGAATGTGGTCTCTCGTACATAGGACAAACAAAAAGATCTATTAAAACCCGCGTTAAAGAACATATAGCTGACGTGAAGCACCGACGTATCGGGAAGTCTGCAGTTTGTGAACATGTTCAGGATCGTCCCCGTCATTACATTAGATTTGATAGACCACAAATCCTCGCAAAAGAACACCGATTCCTCCCAAGGATGATTCGCGAGGCTATTGAAATTAAAAAACATCCTAATTTCAATAGAGAAGATGGATGGGTGCTGCCATCTGCTTGGGATCCCATAATAAATAAAATCAAATCCAAACCCCGGTATACCACTGCTAGACTTCAAGATACTGTAAGCTCATTCTGCGTAAATCGAACCAAAAATTAATATTAAAAAACTGAAGGTAGCCGTGCTAACTATGACAGCAGGACGTCAAACAACTCAGTCCCCCGTGACCACGGGTGCTGGAAAGCACCCGAAACGTCGGGAATATAAAAATAAGTTAATATACGCGATAAAATCCGTAAAATTAGTTTTATTTAAAAACCGAAAAATATAATCAAATAAAAATCAATTACACATTTACAAAATATGTTTTATTATTTAATATGTGGTATCAACTTTCAAAAATACTAGAGGTTGGCCGGCGGCTTCGCTTGCGTCATAGTTAAATAATTTATGCTGAGGTATCCTAAAAACCATGTATCCAAATGGTCACATGCGATATTGACAGTGGGTCTGACAAACGTTTTTTACTTTACATGCAAAATAAATCTACAAAATAATACGAGATAAACTGTGTTTTTACTTTTTTCATATCTTAAAAATTGGCCAAGATATTAACGATCAAAGTGCGTGTTTCCCAGCGAATATTTTTAAAAACGCGGGCGGGCACTCATTATCCGATGACGTCACATTCACGCTCATACAACAATCGCGCTCTCGTCTGCACGCCGCTGCGCAGTAAAAATCAGAATTTTAAAGTTCTCTGTGGTAAAAATGGAAAACAAATACTGTATTGTGTCTCAGTGCTTCAATTCAACAGTTAAAACACCTGATAAACGCTTTTTTTACGTGCTTGAGGACCCAAAAATGAGGGAGTCTATTTAATAGGCCCTAAAACTGAAGCGCACTGCTGTGAAGACCATTTCGATATAAGTATTTTTGTAAGTTATAAGCTGATCCTTCTTCTCTACCTATCCTTGCTCTACTAAACATACCTACTTGTCTACTTTGATTGTTTAGATAGATAAGTATCTTGTCAAAGTTGCCAACTACCTAGCACCTAGTAGCAGCGCAGTGCAGTGCTCCTCAACCGACTGTATTGGCGGGCCACAAAATACACATATGACAAAATATACATAAATATTTTATTCCTACTACAATATCAAACTCGCGGCCCGATGTCAGAAATATCAAACTCGCAGCCCGAATTTATCCTTAGATTTCGTTGCATTTTTTTAACGATAGTAACGTACATACATTTATATTTATGTTTTCGAAACGTACGTTTTTAATATACTAATAGAACGGTTTAACCGATTTAGATAAAACATGTCTATGAACCACTGTTAAAAACAACAATAAATACAAAATAAAAAAAAAACACGGTTCACCCATTTATGAGCTATAGTACTACAAACATACCGACACACAGAGACATATAGAAACACAGACATACATAGCGGTCAAACTTATAACACCCCTCTTTTTGCGTCGGGCATTAATAAATAACCAATAAAAATGGTAAGTAAAAGTTTGCGACACACAAGTTAATCAGCACTGATTTTTTAAATGTTTTAATTTAAAAAACTGTAAATGAATAAACTAAAGCGAGCATTGGATAAAATTAATCAATCAATAAAATCAAATCAAAAAATAGGTAAGTATCTGTTTTAGTATAACAATAGAACAATAAGTACCTATTTGGCTAGTTAGAAATCTGACAACTACGTAAATACCTAGGTACCTACTACCTAGGTATTTACGTAGTT